ATGGGCCGCCAGGTCGGCTGGCGCGGGTTCGACCGCTCGACGCTCGCGAGGCACTTGAGCGTGTTTTTCGGGAGCAGGTACGTCGCCGCCGCGTCGCCGGAGGGCACGAGGTCGTAGGAGCTGCGCGCCTTGTGCTCCGCGCAGACGCGCACGGCGAAGACGCGCTCGAGCGTCGCGTCGAGCGGGCCGCCGCCGCAGACCTCGCAGCCGGCGCAGCCCGGGCCCTCGGTCCTCCGGCGCTTCGCCTCGGCCTCCGCGGCCTCCGCGGCCCGGCGCTTCTTCTCCGCGAGTTTCTCGAGCGCGGCGGCCTTGTTCGCCGCGGCGCGTGCGCGCGCAGCGTCGTCCATGGCGGGTTTTGGTGGTGTGGTTGCGGGCGCCGCGGCTTCTTGTTTGCTCGGCGAGGGCTCGGCCGGAGCCGCGCCAGGCTCCATCGCTCTTCGATCCGGTTCCGCTGGCGCGGTCATGTCGGCCATGTGTGAGAGCGACGCGGTGCACGCCGACGTGCGCGCCTCCGCCTTCGAGCCCTCGCGAGACGGCGCGCAGAATTGCCACTGCGCGAGACTCGAGTGTTGATTTCGCTATCGGCTCCGTGCCGTGCCGGCAGTATCCGTGGGGACTGGGCGCTGATGGGCTGCCTTGGCACGTGAAACAGCGGCATCGGGCGCGGCGGCCATGTCGCTCACGCACGCGAAGAACAACGTGTGGACCTGCGAGTCGTGCAACTGCAAGACGAACCCCGTGCGCGCCGTCGAGTGCGCCATCTGCGGCACGGCGGCCCCGAAGACGAAGTTCGGCCGCAAGGCCCACGGCAGCTACGTGCTCGTGAGCCTCAACAACGCGAAGCGGCGCGCCTTCGCGCGCGTCTTCGACCTGCGCACGGACACGGTGCTCACGGAGGAGCTGCCCGCCGCCGAGGAGCTCGACGACCGCGTCGCCGTCGCGCTCCGTACCGCGCTCGACGCGGGCTACCAGGCCAAGGTGCGGCACGAGAAGCACCGGCGGCACTCGACGGCCCAGACCCTGGCGAAGCGCGTGCACCGCGAGCGCGAGGCCGAGGAGAGCCGCGCGCGCGTCACGGGCGACCTCTTCGCGCAGGTCGCGGCCGGCGCGGAAATCGACCGGCGAGCCGGGACGTCGGGGCCGCGCTTCAGAGTTCTCTCGCTCGGTCACGTCGGAGTCGATGTGGCTGATCTTTCGACGAATCGATGGCTCTCGTCGAGTTCTCGAAGCACAAACGACGCGCGCGCGTCGAAACCGTCGCGCGCGCGCCCGCGGACGTCGGGTCGAAGCTTCGAGGTCCGCGCAGGTCATGGCGCACGACCGGAGCCAGGCGAACGTGCAGCGCATGCTCGGCCAGCAGAGCGACATGCGGCGGCGCATCGAGGCCATCGCCGTGGAGCCGGACCTGCACTCCTACGACGACGACCCGCGGAGCCGCTACGCGTCGTCCGTCGACGAGGACGAGGCGCGCGTGCTCATCGACGCGGGCGCGGCGGCGCGCGCGGCCATGGTGCCCTGCACGTGCTGCGAGCGGCCCTACCGGGCGCGCGCCATGCTGGGCGTGGCCTCCTTCCACGCCGTCGCCGAGTGGCGGCGGCGGCGCGGCGCGGACATCCCGCGCGGCGACGCGCGGCACGGCATCACGAAGCGCTACGAGGGCGTCAAGCTCTGCGTCTTCTGCACCCAGTTCTTCGACGACGAGTTCTGCGACTACGTGCGCATCTCCGGCGACGCCGCCGTCGTCGACGACCCCGTGCTGCGCCTCGCCAAGGGGCCCGAGGTCGAGATCGCGCGGCCCCACAAGGGCGAGGCGCAGCGCGCCGTCGGCGTCCTGGGCCTCGCGGCGGCGGCGGCGGCGGCGGCGGGCGCGCACGCGCGGGGCGTGCCGCTGCCGCCCGTGGCGTCCGCGCGGCCCGCGTCGACGCTGCGCCAGCGCATGGCCAAGTCGGAGCCTGTGTGGAAATCAAATCTTCAACCCGACTTCAATGTGAGCGTGTGCGACAGTTTCGGTGCAACTCGTTCTGATGTCCGTAGAGAACTCGACGAGAGCAATCGATTCGTCCAAAAATTAGCCGAATCGACTTCGATTGACC